GGGGGGGGCGGGGAGAGCAGGGATGGAATATCAGCCGGTGCAGGGGCTGCGGGTCGGGAGTGGCATGGCTGGGGGGGCAGGGGGCTGCAGGTTGGAAGCGAGGGGCACCGCGGGGTGGGGGTCTCACCGTCCTGCCCGCTGGTGACGTTGATGGCCTCGCCATGGGGGGCACCGGGGCTGAGGCCGGACACACCGTTGGTAGCCTCCACCACAAAGGCATAGGTGAGGTGTGGGTGCAGGCCCAGCGCGGTGACACGGGTCTGTGCCAGGTCACGGGCGCCCGGTAGCAGGCGCAGGCGGCAGGGCCGGCAGGGCGCCCCCCCGGGCGGGCACTCACGGCAGGTCACAGTATAGCGCAGGTCCTGGCGGCCCCCACTCTCCAGCGGCTCGCTCCACTCCAGCGCTGCTGCCGACCCATTAGAGCGTGCCACCAGGCTACGTGGGGCCGAGGGCGGTGCTGTGGGCGGGGAGGAGGGGACATCAGGGGACCCGGCCCCCAGGGATGCCTCTTGTGTCCTCCTGGGGAGGCCAATTATGTGCCCTTCAGGGGACTCCAACTACATGCCCTTGTGGGGACGTCAGCCCTGTGCAGACCCAGGGGTGCCTGCCTTGTGCCCTCCCAGGGACACTGCCCATTCCCTGCCAGGGACGCTGCCTCTGTGCCCTCCCGGGGATGCCAACTATATGTCCTCCTGAGACGCCAGCCCCACACCCTCCCGGGGACGCCAGCTCACTGGTGCAGGGTTCAGCCGGCAGGTCTGCAGGGGCGCGGTAGTAGCCATTGCGGCAGGTGCAAACTGTGGCCCCGGGTGTCGGTGCATGGCTGAAGGGGGGGCAGGGCAGGCAGGGCCCCTCCCCCGGTGCCGCCTTGAATGTGTCGGCAGGACAGGCTGCGGGGAGGGCAAGGCAGGCATGGAACCCAGGTGTCCAGGGTCCTATTGCTCCTCCCCTCCCCCCCAGAGCCCAGGTGCCCCCCCAGCCCCAGACCTGCACAGCGAGTGGCGGCATCGGCGGCATGGTGACCAGCATGGCAGGCACAGGCGGGTGCGGGGGGCTCGGCCCAGCGCCCATCCTGCTGGCAATAGAGGGTGGGAGCTGCGCTGGGGCGGGCTGGGGCAGCCTGGTCCACGCAATGCCCAGCAGCCGGCGTCACCAGCCCACGCGGCAGTGTTTCGGGGAAGGCAGCCAGGCCCCGCACAGCACCCGGGCACTTCTTGTGGTAGAGCCGCACAGCCAGCAGCGCCAGGCAGGCCCCCTGGTCCTGGAAAGCCACGTACAGCCCAGCCTTGCTCAGCGGGCCCAGCCGCAGCGTCTTCACGTTCACCTGAGGGGGGGACACGGCCTTGAAAGGCAGCCGGCTCTGGGGTGGAGCGCAGCGAAGTATAACATGAGCTCAACAGGCAGCCAGCTCTGGGGTTAGGGTAGAATGGGGCTTGGATGCGCCCAGCTCTGGGGGAGTCAGGCTGGGTATAAAAGGTTCAGGGGCATCCAGCTCTGGGGTAGAGCATGGGGAAGTATAACACAACCCCAACATGCAGCCAGATCTGGGGTTATGGTAGAACAGGCCTGGATGCACTCAGCTCAGGGGGCTGGGCTGGGCTGGGTGTAACAGGGCCCAGATGTGTTTGGGTCTGAGGGGCTGGGCTGGGTCGAACAGGCCAGGATGCGCCCAGCTGAGGAGGCCAAGCCAGGTGTAATGAGGCCCTTCACTCCCACCCTGCAGCCCCCAGCTCACCTTGCCAGAAGGCTCGGCACCAGGCCGCTTGCGGGAGAGGTGGTCAGCGGCCACGGTGTCCACCTTGACATAGGGGTTCTCCATCCAGGCGGGGCTGCGCGCCGTGGCTGTGTCACCCTCGCTCTCATAGTAGAAGACGGTGAAGGTCTCCTTGCAGGGCCGGGCTGGGCCGGCGCCGCGGGGCAGTGAGGCACACTCCAGCATGCTGAAGCGCAGCTCCAAGTAGGCCTGCACTGCTCCGCGCCGCGCCACGTAGGTGCTGCGCAGCCAGCTGTTCTGGGGGGGGCCGCCGGGCTGGCCCAGTGGGCCCCCACACACCTCGAAGGTGCGGGCCGAGGCTTGGCGCTCCCGGTCCAGCATGCTCACCTCCTCCCACTGCCAGGGATACGGGGGGTAGGGGGAGGGAAGGTGTCATGGGGCTTGGATGCGCCCAGATCTGGGGGGCTGGGCTGGGCTGGGCGTAATGGGCTTTGGATGCGCTCAGCTCTGGGCTAGGTACAACGGAGAAGCAACCAGTTCTGGGGTAGGACACAGTGGGGTAGAACAGGCCTGGATGCAGCCAGCTCTGGGGTAGAGCACAAAAAAGTATAACATGGCCCCAACATGCAGCCAGCTCTGGGGTTAGAATAGAAGAGGCCCAGATGCGCGCAGCTCTGGGGGACTGGGTTGGGTGTAGCAGGGCCCATATGCGCCGAGCTCTGCTGGGGCCAGGCTGGATGTAACGGGGCCTGGATGTGTCCAGCTCTGTGGAGGGGCTGGGTAGAACAGAGGGCCCTGACTCCCGACCCACAGCCCCCCACTCACCTGCCCTTCCCCCTCAGGATACACCGTCCACTTCAGGTCTGAGGTCTCCAGCTGCGTGTCCAGCAGTGTCTCTGCGAGGAGAGGGGCAAAGTGAGGCCCTCTGGGAGGGGAGGAGGGTGAGAGTGGGGGGCTTGGGAGCCAGGAGACTCCCCCCACAGGGGCTGTACAGGGTCTAGGA